GGCAAAGATGTTAGAGAGTAAATCTCTGAAATAATATATTTTAAATATAAGATTCTTAAAAATGTTTACTAAAAATATGCATAATTATTTTTCAAAAATTTTTAAATATTTTTGAACAAAAGATTTTTTTCTTATTAGTGAGTCTTTCTCTGTTTAACTGTAGACAATTTATTCTTGAGTAGAAAATTATTTAATACTGATAAGAAGTTACTTATTCTAATTTCAAGCCTTCGAAAAGAATTCCACTGGCATGAAGAGAGAATCTTAATCTATTTATTGTAAAATATGTACAAAAAAATCACATGGTGGTCTTGAGTCTGGACCTAGTATCTCATATACATACATAACTTCAATTGTTTAGAAAAAAATATATATATATAATGTTTAGTTTAAAAATTAAAATACTTAATAAAGTAAACTAACTTCTACCTCAGTATAAGATGGTGTCTTGGGCTTTAGTAAACAGTGGATGTGGATATGTTTTTAAAGTTTTAAAACTGATATTAATCAGCCACCCAGCAAAATGAAAAATTGAATTTGTGGAAAGAAGAGTCATTTTAGATTAAAAACAATAATATTGACAAGGTGCATTAAAAATAAAAATCTTACATATCTCTTCTTTACTGTGACATTTTGGCAAAAAGAGCTGGAAAATTACTCAATCACAATAAATGAGTTGAGTTCTGAGATGGTACGGGAGCTGGCAGGTGAAGACTTGAGTTGTTAAGAGTCCATTATGTCCCCTTTGCCACACTTAGTGGCAGGACTAGAAAACAAGTGCCTTGCTTCAATGTACTGCAAAATGACTTACCTCTTTTTATATTTTATTTTTATTATGTGTTTCTATTTTATAACAATAACCATATTTTGCCATCTAGTGAGCTTTTATGCTCTTTTTAGTCACTTCCAAGAATAATGATAAGCAGACAATATTTTTCTATTACCAGTGAAATGTTCAAGAAATACCATCTAAGAGACAGTTCTCTAGTTTTTAAAATTGTTGTGAATAGGTTTATGGATAGTTACATTTGTTAATTTTCAAAAATCAAAAAATTGAGATTTCCATAATGACTGGATATTACATGAAATTAGATGCACTGGGAGATAATTATGCATTCTGAAAACAATTATACCCAGTCAAATTCTGATCTTAGCACAATATAATAAGGTAGTTGTTGATGCTCTTTCTCACTTGTAAGTAACATAAAGATGACTTATTAAACTAAGAAATGGGGTTAAGAGTTCATAACAAAGCCGGGCGCGGTGGCTCACGCCTATAATCCCAGCACTTTGGGAGGCCGAGGTGGGTGGATCATGAGGTCAAGAGATCGAGACCATCCTGGTCAGCAAGGTGAAACCCCATCTCTACTAAAAATACAAAAATTAGCTGGGCATGGTGGCGCGTGCCTGTGATCCCACCTACTCGGGAGGCTGAAGCAGAAGAATTGCTTGAACCCAGGAGGTGGAGGTTGCGGTGAGCCGAGATCGTGCATTGCACTCCAGTCTGGGTAACAACAGCGAAACTCCACCTCAAAAAAAAAAAAAAAAAAAAAAAGAGTTCATAACAAATTGTCTGGAGAAGATTGATAATTATTATAAGTCTACTGTCTCTTAGATTTTAGTGCAATCACTTCTCTCTATTGTGCAATCTGGGGCAATACACTTTAAGTTTTTAAAGCAATATTAAACTAGTAAGCAGGAAAGAGTTATTGCAATCTTGTGTATCATCTACAAGATGTGTTATACACAACTGTAGCTAACAAAGAGTGCCCAGTTGAGTTAGCCACAATTTTATAACAATAGAAGTAAGGTCAAGGCATTTGTTACATTATCAAGCCAGCATATGTAGTTATGCTGGGGTACATGTGACAGAATCACAAGAGAACAGCTTTGACTGTTGAAGTCAATATTCACATCCTTATAATGCAACTGAGAGGTATTATTACTACTTAGTAATTTTTTCCTCTTCCCCTTCCTTTATGGCTCTCTCATTACTTCTGCAATTATTTAGTATGAATACTGTCATACATGTTGACACTTCAACATGTCCCATATATCTTAAACTTTCTTTTTCCAGAAAAGATGTCACTTGTATGTCATTATGTAAGTTATATTGATTTATCTGCTTAGAGGACTTACTGTTACATAGATTTTAACTTCGTTTTGATAGAATGCTAGAAGCAGTGTCAGAGATTTCTTTGGAAGGAAGGCAAAAAGGAAGGTTGCATGCACAGCAAATTTCATTGCTTTTCTTATCATAATACCATTTTTACTCTACCATCTTTACAACCAGCAGAGTCTTTAATACTTATTATCACAACATGTTAAAAAAAACAGCTCATTTGTTTTAAAGCTTTTCACTTCATTTAACCAACTACCTAAAGAATTATTATTATGCTTCATTTATTTTGAGAGTTGGAGAGAAATTTTGCTTCAAAAACAAGAAAATTTTTAACAATAATTCACAATTATTTCTGATTTCTCAGGAAGCCGGGCTGTGTAAAAGTGGTGAAATGTTGAACCAGGGTGACTCCTGTTAGAGTCTCAGCAGTCAGTGTGCCCACGTGAGGTCTCTGTCTTTCAATGTTCTTACCATTTCCTAAAAGGAGCTGCAAGGCCAGAATGGAAAGTTCCTCACATGTGATTCCAGATGTCAAAGTATTGCATTTTAAAAGGATGGAAGTCCTATCAACTCATTTCACATCATAAAGTTCCTGCTTATTGATGGAAAGAAAACTGTAAAGGATGTTTAGATAGAAATACAAAGAATTTCTATTTATTGGTATTATCTGTAACTCTGTAAGATTGGCATTATTATTTGTTCCCAGATGAAGAAACTGAAGTATGAGATTACATGAATAACTTGTCCAAGGTGATACACTGGTATGGAGGAAGAATTCAAACATAAGTTTATTCCAAAGTCCTAGCACATAACTGTTAAGCTAAAATATTAATAATACCTATATTGAACGTTTGATTTTCTCTTAGGGATCCAGACAATAGTAATTTAAACCCTCCATTCATTCATAGGGAAGAAATATACTTTTAAACCTATAAAGAAGGGGAAAAAAAACGCTATTACCTTCATTGCACTCTAAAAAATTAACTCAGTATTGGAGAAAGATAAAATTCACTTCTCTAAACATCCCCAAATAAGTAGAGACCAGAGTCCAGTTATGATAAATACGTATCAAGCTCCTCTCACCTTTAAAGGGTTCCAATACTGACTTCCAATTTATCCAGTTATGATAAATACATGTCAATTACACAAACTCCTCTCACCTTTAACGGATTCAATACTATAGTATAGTTTGAAGTTGAGTAATGTGATGCCTCCAGCCTTGTTTACTTTTCTTAGGATTGCTTTGACTATTCAGGCTCTGTTTCAATACTAACAGAGGATAATTCAGGGGAGACTAAGTCCCCTTTCCTTTGTGATCACTAAGGCACAAGGGGAAAACAAGAAACTATAAAACACTTAATAGAACATTTTTTTAAAAGACAGGGTCTTGCTCTGTTGCCCAGGCTAGAGTGCAATGGTGCAATCATAGCTCACTGCAATCTCAAATCCCTAGGCTCAAGTGATACTCCATCTCAGCCTCCAGAATAGCTAGGACTACAGGCATCCACCATATCCAGCTGATTTATTTTATTTTATTTTTTGTAGAGGCAGACTCTCACTATATTGCCCAGTCTCAAATGCCTGGGCTCAAGCAATCCTCCTGCTTCAGCCTGCCAAAGTGCTGGGATTATAGGCACAGGCCACCATACCCAGCCAGAACATTTTAATGAATTTTTTTTTAATATTTATTGCTCCTTTGTCATCATCAATATTAATACATACGGTGTGGTAGTTATTCCTTGTGCTATTTCTTCAATGAAAATGTAAGTGTTCTTAAGATAATTGGATGTGCTTTGGGAAATAAGCAGCAACAATGAACAGATAAAATGACTGAATAATTGATTGGTAAACACCATGTTACTATGCAATAATTATATGCCCTGTGAATTATATAGTACTTATAGCTGACATTATTTAGGAAACCTAAGAAATGAACTTGTAATTTGTGCTTATCAGATTTGAAGTCCAAACAACCAGTTAAGTATCCTGTTATTATAGAAGTATTCTATCATTAGATACCTGGTCAGTAATAATCACCCAATTAGTTACACATATCATAGCCAAAAGCAAAATGCAACTATAATATCACTGGAACATCAAGAAATAATTTCTCAGCTTAGCACATTTAAGAAGAAAAAAAATGCATTTAAATATAGTGCCTCATTCATGCATGCTGTCATCTGGTAAGTGTTCCCACGGTTATGGGAAGAAGGGGCTTGAGTTGCTCCTTCTCATTATGCAGATCATTCTCAACTCAGATGTCAGCTCCTCCACAAGGCCCTTCTTGGCCTTTCTTTTTAAAGCAGATTCTACCCCAATCCATGCCTCCAAATACCCTCTATCATATTTATCTGCTTACTATAATCATAGCATTTTTCTCTCTCTGAAATTGTTTATTTTTTAAAAATCTACCTCTCCTCAGTAGACTGTGATCTTGTTTTCTCTTCATTAGATTAGACCCTTTGTCTTTTAAATAACGGTCTCTATTAGGAAAGTAACCACGTCTGTTTGTTCAACACTGTAAACCCAGTGTGTGGCCTTAGTAGGCATACAGTAACACACTAGAATGTATGTTGGTGAAAGAACGAGTCACAGGAGTTATGCAAAGTACTTAGAATATAAAACAAGAGATCCTCTGCTCCATGGGTTTTTCATGTCATGATACTGAATTAACGTGTCATGTACTTTCAAAGTATTTTCCAAAGCAGGTATCACATTTTAAAATAAAAACAAAACTAAGTTTAATACTTAATTTAAATAGGCAGTTTTCCTTAATACTACCATATTGTCTTAAGCTGTTTTTGTCCACTTCGCTTCACATAAATGTACTTTGAATTGTTTACCAACAGTTTTTGACTGTGCACATTTATTTCTGCAGACAACAACATTAATTGGTCTTTTGAAGACTGCTCGGCTACTTCGTCTGGTGCGCGTGGCCAGGAAACTGGATCGATATTCAGAATATGGCGCTGCTGTTCTAATGCTCCTAATGTGCATATTTGCCCTGATTGCTCACTGGCTGGCTTGCATTTGGTATGCGATTGGGAATGTAGAAAGGCCTTATCTGACTGACAAAATCGGATGGTTGGATTCCTTAGGACAACAAATTGGGAAACGTTACAATGACAGTGACTCAAGTTCTGGACCATCCATTAAAGACAAATACGTCACAGCACTTTATTTTACCTTCAGCAGTTTAACCAGTGTAGGATTCGGGAATGTATCTCCTAACACGAATTCGGAGAAAATCTTTTCAATTTGTGTCATGTTGATTGGCTGTAAGTAGCTTTCTCTTCTGTTGTCTATTAGGATAGAATAATACCTTGAAATTAATATTTCTACAATATTTAGAGTAAGGCAAAGAAAAAATTAGAGAAAATTGAGGAGATAATGGGATTACATATATGGGTACTGTGTTCCATCAAATCTAAATCTCTCTGTGAAGTGGAGACACCAAAAGGTCTTTTTTAACCTTAGAAAATTATGGGCATAAAATTGGAGCAACACCGTTTCAGGAATTGAAACTTGCAGTTCAGTTTCACTGCTATAAAAAGAGTATCCGTAATTTATTACCAATGGTTATTTTCTATTTCAAGCTAAGGCTATATTAGAATGGGAAGTACTCATTTACACTGCATGATAGATTTATAAATATAAAAAGTATTAATCATATGTATCATCACAACAATTATCACAAGAAAAAGATCTTTCATATACATGTGTATGTGTATATATATAAATATATACATGCAACATACATATACATATATATACATAATATACATGTAGTTTTCCCCCATCATTGACAAAACATTTCTTTTCCAGTGACATTATGTCAAGACCTAAGTGATTAGTTACTGTCATGAGCATCATTCATAACATATATTCTTTGGAATTAAAAAAGCTTTGTTAAGAGTTGTTTTAATGTTATCATGTATTTTTTAATCACACTGTGTAACCACTGAAGGTAAACTTGCTATTTCCAGGCAGCAATTGGCAAAAGCATGATGGATTTTTATTTTCATTTTTTTACATTTTTTTAAAAATAATTTCAGCTTTTATTTTCAATTCAGGGGTTACGTGTGTGGGTTTGTTACATGGGTATAATGTGTGATGCTGAAGTTTGGGGTATGAATGATTCCCATCACCCAGGTCATGAGCATAGTACCCAATAAGTAGTTTTTCAGTCCTTGCCTCCCTCCCTTTATCTCACTCTACTTGTCCCCCATGTCTTCTGTTCTCATCTTTATGTCCATGTGTACCCAATGCTTACCCTCCACTTCTAAGTGAGAACGTGTGGTATTTGGTTTTCCGTTCCTATATTAATTTACTTAGGATAATGGCCTCCAGCTGTATCTATGTTGCTGCAAAGGACATGCTTTTTTTCTTTTTTATGGCTGCATAGTAGTCCATATTGTATATGCACTACATTTTATTTATCCAATCCACTGTTGATGGGCATCTAGGTTGATTCCATGTCTTCTCCAATGTGAATACTGCTGCAGTGAACATACAAAAGGATGTGTATTTTGGTAGAACGATTTTGTTTTCTTCAGGTGTATATCCAGTAATGGAATTGTTGGCTTGAATGATAATTCTGTTTTAAGTTGTTTGAGAAACCTCCAAACTACATTCCATGGTGGCTGAACTGATATATATTTTCCCCAACAGCATATAAGCATTCCCTTTTCTCCACAGCCTCCCCAGCATCTGTTATACAGATGGTATTTCCTAGTTTTTTTCTAGGTTTGTTACTGTTTGAGGTCTTACATTCCAATCTTAAATCCATCTTGATTTAAATTTTGTAGATGATGAAAGATTGGGGCCCAGTTCAATACTTCTGCATATGGCTAGCTAGCTGTTTTAGCACCATATATTGAATAGGGAGTCCTTTATACATTGCTTATTTTTGTCAATTTTGTTGATCAGATGGCTGTAGGTGTGCAGCTTTATTTCTGAGTTTTTTATTCCATTCCATTGGTGTATGTGTCTGTTTTTTTGTACCACTACCATGCTGTTTTGGTTACTGTGGCCTTATAGTATAGTTTGAAGTCAGGTAATGTGAGGCTTTGTTTATTTTTCTTAGTATTGCTTTGACTATTCCGGCTCTGTTTCATTTTCTATAAATTTCATATTAGTTGTTTGAAATTCTGTGAAAATGACATTGGTAGATAGGATAGCATTGAATCTGTAAATTGCTTTAGGAGCATGGATGTTTTAACAATATTGCCTCCTTCAATTCATGAACATGAAATGTTTGTCCATTTGTTTGTGTCGTCTATGATTTATTTTAGCAGTCTTCTGTAGTTCTCTTTGTAGAGATCTTTCACATCCTTGGTTATATGTATTCCTAGATCTTTTATTTTTTGACTATTGTAAATGGGATTGTATTCTTGATTTGAAACATTATTGGTGTATGGAAATGTTACTAATCTTTGTACATTGATTCTATATCTTGAAACTTTACTGAAGTAATTTATCAGCTCTAGAAATTTTGCAGAGTCTTAGGGTTGTTTTTAGGTATAGAATCATATTATCAGCAAAGAGAGAGAATTTGACTTCTTCTTTTTGTATTCGGAGGCCTTTTATTTCTTTCTCTTGCCTGCTGGTTCTAGCTAGGACTTCCAGTGCTGTGTTGAATAGGAGTGGTGAGAGTGGGCATCCTTGTGTTGCTTCTGCTTAAGGGGAATGCTCATAGTTTTTCTCATTCATGATATTGGCTGAGGGTTTGCAATAGATTGTTTTTAATATTTTGAAGTATGTTCTTTCAATGCCTAGTTTGCAGAGGGTTTTTATGAGGAAAATATCTTGGATTTTAAGCATGATTTATTTCTAAAGCTTCAAAAAGAACATCATCCTTGGATTGCATAGAAAGTTGAAAATAGATCCTGATAGTTGATTTTTAAGTGTCAACATGATAATAAAATGGGCTTAGATAGATAAATCCCTATTAATGAAATTTATATAAATTCACCAAGTTTATTGTCTACTTTATGTAAAATGTACTTTTCATATTTCTTAGTGTTTCTATTTTACTAGCATTTGTATAAGCAAATTACAGTTCAATAATATTGAGACATTCTACAAATTCATTCCAAGTCTAGGCTTCAAACACAGAAGTAGCACTGTACTTAGGAAGAAATGGAAGTTGAACCTCCTAGAAAAAAATAGAAATATGCATTCCAGAGAGACTGAGCACAGAACACAGTTCCAACTATTTTGTGATTACAGCTACTAGTAAACACTTTATGGGGTCATTAGCTTTAGTTGCATAGGTATCAAACAAGGAAAAAACTTGGTCTTAATTAAACACATATATAGCAAAATATCTTTTTAATAATATTTTATTAAACTTGTATTTTGAAACTTAGAATTTTTAAGAAAGAAGTTTAAAAATGCACATTATCCAGTTCACCACTTAGTAATCCACACCACTTGTGAGGATTTTGTACTGCTGTACACAGTCAGCAAATAGCAAATAGCAGCTTTTAAAAATGCATATAAGTATAAAAATCTATATGCATTAGATATTTACTATTTGCATTTAATGTTTTATTTTTAGTTTTCTTAAATTATATTGCAATGAGATAGAAGATTGATTGCCTTGTTTTCTACAACTTAGCTTCAAATTTTTCTTTCAGAATAAAGATTAAAGTTTAACTCAGGGATGCTGGGAAAGTTCAATCTGATAATCACATAGTTGTAATTAGTGTATATACAACCTTTTAACAAATTTGTTGTTTTATTTTTTCAGGCTGAAAGAAGGCCACTAGTGGGTCTGAGAAGTATGTGCATAGATAAAACCACACCATTTACAAATATATTTAGATTTTTGGGTACACATATTTCAGTATTATTATTATTGCTAAATTTCAAGTCCCAGTTTTACTCTTTATTTATGGCATGGCACAGTTCTCCAGGAGTACCTATAATGTATTTCCTGCATGATATAAAACTTTACATAATTCCATTTGGATTAAGGTATATAGAACCAAGTCTTTTATTCAAATAAATGATGTTATGTGGAATGAGGGTGTATCTCACTATCACCAATTTGACAAGAGTGTTTCATTTTTTCTTAAAAGATACAGTTCATCTACAGAAAACATGTATTATTCTTAATAAATCAATAGAAATAGTCTAGTGCTATATTAAAAAGAAAAGAAGGGAGGAAAGGAAAGAAGAAAGGAAGGGGAAAGGAAGAACAATGCCTACAGTTCCCTGATTGAGGGATTAGAGATTAGGTGTAGAGCGAGTAAAGAACTGATCTATCTTCAATTTAAAATAATCCACATGATAAATAGCACTATGTTTATTACAGAGTACAGTAATCAGATAATTATATACATTTTAAAGTGTATATAATTCAAAATCAAAAAGGGAAGACTGTGAAATCATCAAATAATTGTAAATATAAATGATGTTTATATATTTATACCTGTTTTCTAACATAGCATTATTTTATGCCTTAAATATCATAAATAAAACATATATATTTAATTTTTTAAAACACATAAACCATAAAAATAAAGGCAAATGTATTTCATCTCTGACCTGCTTGACAAACATCTTGATTGGAAGAATTTCTTATTTTTGTAGCATATAAAAAAAAGTTACTGGAATTCTGCTTCCATTTATGACAGAGTTACTAAAACCTTACTCTCTTTCTATTAAAAACAAAATACATAAGGCAATTGTTTTCAGACACGGGGAAATTAATAGGGAAGTTTGATCACTGAAAGAAGGAAAACAAACAATATGGGATACAGGTTACCTTGGCTTTCTGCCTAGAGGCACTTTCTGGACCACAGTGAAGAGAGAAGGAAGAAATAACCTAAGCAGGCCCCAGCAGTCTTACTGAGAAAACAAACAAACAAACAAAAAAACCCACCAAGATCAGAGGTCATGGAGGCGAAGATGCTGCAATTTGCAAGACAGACAACTGGAGAAGTAGTTATGGAAAAAGCTCGAGAAACCTACATAGGTATCCTTTTGAATCTACTGAAGAATACTAAGTCACGAATGCATGGGGTAAAACTCCCCAAAACTTGGCAAAGAAATACCAGAAATACTATAAGCTGAACAATTTCCAGAGCTCACATAGATGTGGGAGATTTTCAAATTTTACCAGCAGAGTGGAAAACCCTTATTGAATATGCAGGGTATTTGATAGAAATCTCAGAAAAAAATAGTGTTATGGTACTAGGGCTAATCAGGCCCCATAAAAAGCTTATAAAACAAGCTTCAAAAGGTATAAGCTGATTCCTAAGTGGTTTAA